GGCAGGTCAGGCCCTTAGGAAGGGTCCCAGGGCTTTGCTCCCAACATAAGACAAATAAGATGTTGTACTAGAGACTTCTTCCAGGGTCTAGTTAGATATGTGTAATTCTTATCCTTCATCAAGAAAACTTCTTTTTGAAACAGAGACCATCACAGAAAACCACAAAAGATCAAAATGCAGAATTTTGGAACCCCAGTCCCAGCTGATATGTTTACAATATAATTAATTTCTATATCTAAGACTCAGCAGTCATTGTGGAAGAGGGGGCAGAAAGGTTGTAAGCCATTTGTAAGAGCCATTCCTGTCTCCTCAGAATGTCAGAAAAGCTACATGCATGGATCCTCACCCACATGGCTGCCTAAACATGACCTGAACAAGAAAGACACCAATAGACATACTAATGTTGACTGGGAAAAGCTCATGAGGCTCCATCCTAGACAAAGAACTATGCCAACTAAGGGATGTTGAGAGTAGGAGAAATGATCTTTCAACTCAAATGGTCAGCCCTGAAAACATATGCAAATAAGTAACATTATATACACTGATCAGGTTATATTTATGCATTTTGGAATATATATACACACACATATATATACATAAATATATGTAACAACAATTTAAAAAAGAGGTCATGAATTTGAAAGAGAGCAGAGTGGGAAAGATTATCTTAATAAAGATAGTGCTAGAAAAGAAATATTGTTATATTCTGATTACAAAAGAACAGTAATTCTTATAATAGTAATAGAATGGTAATTCAGTATAAAACATAGAAAAGAGAAAAGCAGGAGAAAATGAAAGAAAGGAAAAGCAGTTATGATTGGACTGAATCTTCTCATCATCACCAATATTTGATGTAACCTGCCTTCTTGACTGTAGGTATGTTGGAGTTTGGTAATAACAGTAAATCATGATAGAATATTTTTATTTAGTTGATTTGCTGGCCTTGTGCTGGTCTTGTATAGGAAACCACATCTGCTGTGAGTTAGTTGATGCACCAGCTGTGTCATTTCCAGAACTCAGCATTTTATAGCTTTTCTTTACATCTGCTGGCTCTTATATTCTTTTTCTATTTTGCATAGTATTTTAATTAGTTCTTTCTTGAATTGTGCTAAAATTCTAACATTCTGCAATGAATCCATCCAATTCTGAATACTCTTTAATTGGGACATGTTTTATTATTGCTTCAGTCACGTTCCTAATTATGGATCGGTTTAAATCATTTATTTTTTATTGGTTTAATCTTGGTATGCCAAGTGATCTAAAAATTAATCTGTTTCTTTTAGCTATTTCAGTTTAGTTGAATAAGGGCTTTTAAAGCATGTCCTTATGATTTTCTGAATTTCATATGTATCTGTTATAATATCTCCTTTTTCATTTGTAATTTATTCACTTAGGACTTCATTCATTCAGCGCTTCCTACATGTGCATTCCTTTTTCTTTGGTTAGATTAACTAAGGGTTTGTCAAGAGTGTTTATATTTTCAAACACCCAACTTTTTATTTAGTTGATTCTTTGTAACTTTTTGTTTATTTCATTTTATTAATGTCTGCCTTTATTTTGATTATGTCTTCCCACATACTGTTTTGGGATTTGGTTTGTTCTTGTTTTTCAAGGTTTTTGGTTGTATCATTAAGTTACCAATTTTAGATCCTGCAGTTTTGTTTTGTTTTGTTTTCATTTGGTTTGGTTTGGTTTGGTTTGGTTTGGTTTGGTTTGGTTTGGTTTGGTTTGGTTTGGTTTGTTTCGGTTTGTTTGTTTGTTTGTTTTCAGTTAGGCATTCAAAGCTGTAATATTCTATTGTGTCCAGATAGAATGCAGGAAGTTATTTCAATTTTCCCGTATTTGATGAGAGTTGCTTTTTGTTCTAGTATGTGGTCAATATTGGAGAGAGTTCTGTATCTTACTGAGGATAAAGTGCAATTTTAATACTCAGATAGATGGTCTGTAGGATGTTTTCTGTCCTTTTGAGTTATGACTTTATTCACTTCCAATATTTTTCTGCTTAGTTTGTATCTGGACAACATGTCAGTTTGTGATAATGGAGTACTAAAGTCATGCAATATCATTGTGTTGTCATTAGTGTGTGAATTTAGATCTAATTTATTTGTTTTATGAAATTAGGTATGCCTGTATTTGGTGCATATATGAATATACTTACAGATTTTTTAGAGAGCTCTATATTTGACCCTTGAACTGTAAGAATTGCACTAAATATTTGAGGACTTTAATCCTCTTTCTTTCCTGATTTCTAGCTGTCTGTTTCTACTGTGGCACTCTGTTTAATATTTCTGTTTTCTTATACTGGTTTCTGCTTTGTGGCTCACAGTTTAACATATGGTAGTAGAGGCAAACAGAGCTATTGGAGGGCTGAGTATATCACTGTGACCATGAAGGAAGCAGTTACAAGCAATGCTTACTAAACACCTATCTTAGGGAGATAAAAACTATGGATTTATCTCATTTACAGACACCCTCAATAAATACCTGTTCAATTAATAAATGACACTGTTATATGGGGAAAGAGTCTAAGGTTACAGTTTGAGTGGGACGATAGTTGTATGCAATATAGGATATCTCCACACAGCAGTTGTGAATTGCAACTCAAAAAAACAAAAACAAAAACAAAAAACAAAACTTCTTTTGAAAAGAAGTGGTAGAAGTGACATCAGCCTTAAGAATTACAGGATCAAAGATGAGGTAAGCTTTATTTGAGGGGCTAACTCAAGTTTGGAAGTGGCCAAAAGAGATTAACACATGGTCAGTTTTATTTCTTAGATAGTCAAGGAGAGGAAGGAATGTAATTTGCCTCCATGCAAGTGTATCTATCATAAAATAAGGAGAGTATAAATAAACACATACCTAGGCTGTAATTGTAGACTTCTGTTCTGCTCCTTCTGCATCTGGAAAGAAAGGGAAAGAACAAACATTTAGTCTATGCTAGGTGGGTGTGTTAATCATCTTGTTTTTATCTAACAGTATTGATTGGAGGAAGTTAACATGCCTCACATTTTATAGATGTAGAAAGTGAATCTTTAAATGGTCCCATTGGATGCATGAGACCTTGAAGCCAGCTTTCTAGTTTTCCCATTACTAAACCCAAGTCTATTTATTTGCCAAATAGGATAAGGCTCAAGGAACTAAGGACTAACTGTCGTGATTTAAAAGAAAAAAAAAAAAAAAAAAGGATTGTTTAGCAAGCCAGCAAGACTAAGATAATGGACTGAAATACCTTTTAACTCACTTAGGTTTTAAGCTTCATTTCACCATAGACAAGGGGAGGATGGGAGTTAGTTTATTTAGTAAGACCTGGTGGTTAATAATTCGTTAGTTTGGCACATCTTAGCATCACAAGTCTTCAAAGGTGAAAAGAGGCCATGTATATCAACCTCAGGTTGCTCGGTTGCGTAACTAATGAAGACTGCATTCAACTAGGGACAGGCTGTTTCGAGCAAGAGGCAAAATGTACAGGCTTTGGGCTCTTTCTATTTGAATCATAAGTGTGGCTACACCCTAGTCATTGCCCATTTAGACTCTCTGTCAGACTAGGGAGAAGCTCAAGCATGGAGCTCTGCTATAAAGCCAGGAGCCTGAAGATAGTGGGGTATGTGGTGGTCAAGAAAGGGAGGAGCCGGGTGTTTGCCTTCATGCATTCATCTCAACAGCCTAGAGTCTGCAGGGGCTCAAGGTAGTGGAGATTTGTAGTTGGGCAATCACTCTACAGTAAAGTTACTTTTCATTGGGCAGATGCCAAGGTTTGTTTCTTGCAGTCTTGGCTGTGCTGATTAAGGTTCTGGCTGACCACACTGAGGGCAGAGCTTTCTCGATTGGTTGCTGTAGGTTGGATACTTTTGGCACAGTAGAATTTGAACCTCTGTGTTTGTCATACCCCAGAAATGTTTCTCTAGATGTACTTTTGTACTCACTGAACACTGAGCAGTCCAGCCTGGGGATTACTGACAACTACAACTTGAAGGTAAGAACACAGCTTATCTGAAAAAGTTTGGCCTAACTTGTTAGAGTGTGTTCTTAGTATTCAGTTATGCAAGTGTTTAATTTATAAGTAGATTAACTAAAATAAGGTCCCAAGAAACCTGAGAAATTTAATAAAGGGCATGTGAAGTTAACACTGGCAGTCAAGTGGGAGGATTGCTGTGAGTATGAGGCTTGTTCAGAGGACAGTGGGAAACCCTATGTCAGAAAACCAAATGAAAGGTTAACTTCATGGAAAAGTGTAATGATATTTGCTCACAGAAATATTGTTTCACAAAAAGGCCAGAAGGACCTAGCCTGACAATATGAAAAGGGGGCTGCCTTTGTGTGTCAATCTGCCCAATTCTAAAAATAGCAGTGACCATAGCTGAGGCAACCAATAAGAGGCCAAAGGGAGGGCGACAAGGTCTTGAAATTTAAATGGGGATCAACAATGTTCTCCCCAGCTCCAGTAGCACCAGATGCCTCCATCCTCCTGCTGCACCTCCTTCCTGAAAGCTTTTCCTATGTTCTACCCTGTGGGCCTCCAATACAGCAGGTAGGAGAGCACTATGCACTGCGCAGGAAGTACTCCCTGTCCTTGAAGCAGTAGCAGCTTCTGGTGGCTCTCTTTTACTCACAGCCCTGCCTGCTGTGGGCCATCAGACCTCAGGTGTCTTTCCACATGCCTGCTGCTTGACATTCCATGAGGTTATTGGAAGTAGAAGGTGTCATCATTCTGAGCGTTGGCTATAACCCAGTTGCCAGGCCTTGGTGCACAGGAGGCACAGAGGGATGCAGTCAGTTGTCTCCCTGGGATCACTGCTACAGCCCAGCAGCAGAAGAGAGGCTTGTGGTACACACTAACTACAGTTCTGGGAACAGATCCAAATTTGAGAATCCAATTCCCACTGACTGACTATGGCTTTTGTATCGTTGTAAGATTAGACATCCAGGAATCTTCCCCTCCTCGACATAGCTAAGCTAGAAATGGTGAACACTGGGCAACCCTCTACCACTGAACATCAGCCCCCATTTGACTCAGGTTTACATACTTTCTCGTAGTCTCACCTCAGATCTACCTGCCTAAAACACAAATACAATTACAGAGCTGGTCTTTGTTGAATGAAGATTTTCAAGATGTTACCTCCAGGCCATAACTCTAAGCCTACTTAAACCCAGCATAGGCTGGCTCTTTTTGATACCTGAAGAATAAAACACACTCCTTAAGATACTTAGAACCTGCCTACCTACTTATCCAAACACTTATCTACTAAAGCTACACTTATCTGCTAAAGCTCTAAGCCCTGGGGACTTCCTTACCAAGGTTACATCTTGCTTTGTTTTGCTGAGGGCCCCTAGCTATGATTTGCATGTGATTTGTCTTCCTAAACTCAAGAGTATTATCTTATGATGCTAAAGCAAGGAACCTCCATCCTATTATGTTGTTCAGAAGTGTGCCTTTGTAAATGAATGGACTTGAAAGAATGAATCCCCCAAGGCTTTGTAAGGAGACCACAGAGAAAGACAGGCAGACTCATTCCCATTGTGATGTAATGAAGCCCTAGGCCTAGCCCTAGGCCTGTCCACAGCTGTTTGGATTTCGAGCCTCTAAAACTAAGAACTAAGTACAACTCTGTTTTGTTTTTGAGACAAGTTCTCACTGTGTAGTCTATCCTCAAATCAGTGATCTTCCTGCCTCAGCTCCCATGTGCTAGGATACAATCATGTCCCAGCACGCCCAGCCTCTTGTTTCTGTAAGCCTGTCTCGGTGGCCTCAGAATAGTAACCCAAAGCTTACTGGTGCAGCTTGCATGCACTCCCCTCTACGCAATACACCAACCCCTTCCCATACCAGATTTCACACTCTGGGTGTCATGTTTTTATTGCTAAATATAAAGCAAATACATAGAACAACATGTTAATATGAGGCATACATTCAAGCCTTCACCCATCCAATAGGGGGCAAAACCCTGCCAAATAATGAGAATGCGTTCTACATGCTCCCCTCTCCTGGGCATGTCCCTCCCTCACTTTAAGAGCAGCCACTGTCTAAACACTTCAAATGAACTTTTACTGTCTTTTCTTGGTACTAAGGCTCAAGCTCACAGCCTTCAGAGTGCTAGGCAGGTTTTCTCCCATGAAGCTACATTTTCTTTATAATTTACTAACATCAGTGACAAAAGTCCTAGACATAATAGTTTAGATTGACTTATTGATCTTTTTGGTATCTTTAAATATGTTATTTTATGAAAAAAAATGTATCTGTAGATCTATACCTTTAAAAAAATTTCTTACCAACTCTCTGAAGGGAATGTATCATTGTCCTGCAGGTCATGCAGGTCCACCAGGCTGATTTTAACCTGTGCTGAAAGAAGTTTCCCAAACATTCTTATTTAGATATAGATGGAGTGTCAGTGACTTAGCAAAACCACTTCATATGGGAAGTATTTTTCATCAAGAGACAAACAACGTCTTGTCTTTCTTTTGTGATTTACTAAATATTAAAGGCCAAGTTTTAATATTCACTAAGAGCTGCAAAAAGGAATTATAATTATATAATTTATTTTTCTTTTATTTATCAGAATAATTCTATAAATAGAAATGTGCTTTCTTGTGCTAGTTGGTTAATTAATATCAGAAAGCCAAACCAAATGATTAATTCCTTTTATTTTCTGATGTTCAATAGAACACCTGGTTTCTGAGATTAATCATGCTCATCCTACTGTAACCAATTCCCCAATTCTAGGCAGTTTAAATGATTTTCCACAGTTCTGGAGTAAGAGATCCCAGATCAGAGTGTCAGCTGCCATGCTTTCTCAATACCTATCTCCTCTGCTTTCAGGTGGCCATGCTGTTCCCTTCCTGCATCATTTAGTGTTTTTCTGTGTGTCTAAGAATCTTCTTAAAAGAACCCCAGTCTGATTGAATTAGAACCTACCCTAAAGACCTCATTGTAACCTAACTAACTCTTTAGGGCTCTATCTCAGTTACCTTCTAAGGTATGGACATTACAGCTCAGCACATGAATTTGGAGGCACATGATTCAGTCCATTTTATCCAAAAATTCTTTTGCGATATAAATATGTCAAAATAATTTTCTTTTGCCCACTGATTTAGCAATTTCGAATGACACAAACAAGATGTGGTAGCACATGCCTGTAATCCCAGCATTTCAGGAGGCAAAGGCAGGAGGGTACTGGCAAGTTTGAGGCCAACCTGGTGTATAAGTTGATACAGGACCCTGTTTAGAAAAAAAAAAAACAAAACATGAGTTTATTATGTGAAACTTTTTTATTATTGTTGTTTTGCTTTGATATTTTGAAACAGAGTCTCACTGTAACTCAGACTGGCCTCAAAGTCATAGTCTTCCTGCTTAGTTTCCCTCATGTTGCTTACCGTCACACCCTGCTGATCACTTTAATTCTTGTAGGTCAGAAGTCTGAAGAGATCATAGTCTCTGGTAGAATCAAGGTACAGAGCTGCACTTCCAGAGGCTATGAAAAAGCATTCCTGCTCAGCTCATCTGCTGGTCAGCAGTCTTCAATTCTGTGTAGGCAAAGATGGAGGCTGCTGCCTATGCTTCATTCTCAGCTTCTTGACATCTGCTCTCCTTTGTCTATGAGCTGGCAGGGCAGTCATGTTCTCACTATACTCTGAGGGCCCCCACCTCTTTCACCAATGCTCTGTTGGAGATTAGAATGAAAGTGTCTTTGGAAATCACTACATTGCATTCCACAATTTACATTTGAAGAGGACAAAAGCACACCAAATAATGACAATTCCTGTGCGATAGTTTTCTTTGTGCATATGGGCTAATGGCAAGGGCTTTTAAAATTTCAATTCCATATGCATATGCATAACTTAAAATGGGGCAATTTTTAAAGAAGAATGACGGGATTTGTACACAGATGTTAGCTGCAATCCTGAGTAAACCACTGGTACCTGTGCTTGCAAGTCTTCCCATATTTAGAATAATGATTATTATTTCTTATGCAAAACTTGTGACATGAATTAAAAGAGAAGAAAGAATTTGGGGAAGGACCTAACAAGGAAGGCCCACGGAGTCTAAGTGCTTCAAACCAAGTGAGGTAGCTTACACCTGTCACCTCAGCATTGAGAAGACTGAGGCAGAGGGCTGTGAATTCAGTGAGTTATGTGGCATCCTGGGATAGGTAGAAAGACTTCACACCACTCTTATCCCCTCCTGACCCACCAGAAAAAAAGGGGAAGGAGGAGAAGACGGCAATAATCTACCTTCCTCTGCTGAAGCTGACTCCACCACACCTCTCACGTGAAAAGTCCACCCTCTCTGACACATCGTGATTATGGCTGCAGCTTATATTTGAAATGCGTTTGAGAATAACTGGTTCTCATTTTCTAAAAGCACTATCCATTCCAGAGAACCCAGCTGTCTTTGGGAGTCTGTCACCCTGGCCATACTGAGCCCCTCCTCTCACTCCCTGGAGTGGCCAAGCTAGTTTTGGTCATTGAACTTCCAGCAACTATTTACTGTTACACTTTCTATAAAGACCATTTCCTCTTTACTGTTCTGTGGCTCCAGTTATATGAGAATTAAAAATAAGTTGATTATAAAGGTACTCAGCCTAGCACTGTAGCTGTCACTGAACATTACCTTATTGTCCCTCTGGGCAGCAGTACGGCAGTAGTAAATGTGTTCTGGAACTGTAACAACAACTCGCTCTTGAGTAATAGAGGCTCACTCTTCCTACCTTGATTTTCACGCATTTACAAGTCTTCTAGGTATAGCAACCAACAGCAAACAAACAGTGCAAAAATGTGCACCTACCAAAAGAGACATAAAGTAGACTAGAAGCACATGAGAAGACATTTACCGTTACTCATGAAGGAAATGCAAAACAAATCTTTTGGGACTGCTATTTATCCGGATACATTACCTGTCAGTGACAATTAGAGTAATATACACTGCTGGTGGACCTCTAAAATGATACAGCCAATGCAGAAAAGTGCTATTACAAATGTAAATCTTGCATTGCTGCATTGAATTATAAACCCAAAAATATGAACATAAGAGCTTAGGTATTTGTGCATTATGTTTATAGCAGCTTCATGCACAATAGTTGAAAGGAGGAACTCTGAGTGCCTATAGACAAGTAAATGGATAAACAAAATAATAGTACAAGCAGGCATGCAATAATAGTCAGCATTAATCAGGAAGGAAATCTAATGACATTCCACAACAGAGTTGATCCTTAAGAACATTCAACAACTGGGCATGGCCATGCATGCCTGTAATTCAAGCACTTGGGGAGGCAGAGGTAGGCATACCTCTGTAAATTTGAGGCCAGCCTAGTTGACAAAGGGAATCGAGAACAGCCAAGGCTACACAGAGAAATCCTGTCTCAGAAAAAAAAAAAAAAAAGAAAAGAAAAAACATTCAACTACACAAAACAAACTTCACAAGAACAAAATCGAGTTACCTATCTAAAGCATCTAAAGTTCCAGGTTCCAGGAGATGGAAAGGGAAATGGCGGTACCCAGGGGCCAGAAAACAGAGATTTAGAATTAATTAGTTCCTAGTTTCCATCTAGGAAAGGGAAAAGTTTTCTGGAGATAGAACATGATAATAGGAGTAAAACAGAGGTAATATTATTAATGCCACTGAGACGTCTACAATGATGGTTGAGTCATTGTCATGTTGTATATGCTTTATCATAGTTTTTTTAAATTCCCTTCTGTTCTCTTCTCATAGGGACTGGACCCTCCACCTTGAGACACTATGGCCCTGACACCAGACTTGAACAAACAAACAAAACTGAAAGAGGTAGCAGGGATCCCCTTGCAGGCTGCAACTGTAGACAACTGGAGGCAGATTCAGACCTTCAAGGCCAATCCAGATGACTTCCTCATTTGTACTTACCCTAAATCAGGTAACTCAGCACAGTAATGGCTCCAGCTTCATCCTCTGAGCCATCTGAATGCCTCACCTTAGACCTGCCCTTCCTATCCCATGATGTGTTCCATCTCAAATGCCTGTATCCCTGAGTGTTTTTGAAGCTCACTCTCCTCTACCATTCACCTTTCCTGAGAAAATGTAACTTTTGTCTCTGCTGTTCTACTCTCCACAGAAATCCAAAGTCTTCTTGCCATAGAGCTAATAAGATTGTGGACAGAGTAGCAGGTGAAAATGAAGCCAACATCTGGTTCCACATCCCTTCTTCAGGTTTCTTTTTTTCTTTTTGGGGTTTTTGAGACAGCACTGGCTGTCCTGGACTGGCTTTGTAGGCCAGGTTGTACTCAAATTCACAGCAATCTGCCTGCCTTTGCCTCTCTGAGTGCTGGGATTATAGGCACATGCCATTGTGCCCAGATTCTTCAGGATTCTTTAATAAAGAACAGTAGGTTTCTGATTTTTACTCTTCTCTATGTCCTTAGGAACAACATGGATTCAAGAAATTGTGGACATGATTGAGCAGAATGGGGATGTGGAGAAGTGCCAGCGAGCCATCATTCAACACCGACATCCTTTTATTGAGTGGGCACGGCCACCCCAGCCATCAGGTAAAAGCCCTTGACTCTCTTTGTGTTCTTCTCCTGTCTTGTCTCTGTCCTTGCCTTATCTCTTCATCTCTTCCTCCTTCTCTTCTTCCTGTTCTCTCTTTCCATCCCTTCCTTCCCTGTTTCTTTGTTTTTGAGGAAGGATTTCTCTACATAGCCCTGATTGTCCTGGAACTCACTATGTAGACAAGGCTGGTCATGCTTGGGTTAACAGCATGTGCCACTGTGTCCAGACCCATCTCTTTTCTTGTCTCTCTTTCTACCAAATGTGAATCATCAAGCATGAAAGATGCATGTGAAGGTAAAGTTCTGCTTTATTTTCTCATTATATCTTTGCTCTGGTAATGAGTAACGGTAGAACACAAGAAGGTGACTCTTGAGCCACTCACCCCATCTGCTTTCAGTGCCCAACCTTATTATAATCAAGTGGGTCCTGGAAATGTCTAATAAGTCACAGATTACATACATACCTCCACACACAAGTCCAAGTCCACGCATGTATACACACACACACACACACACACATACACACACACATTAGTGGAGCCAATTACTTTGCTAAGCTAAAAAAGCCTTTTTTTTTTCCACATAAAGTCAACTTGGTAATTGTTCTTTTTACACATGGGGAAAAGTTCATGAGGACAACCAGAAGACAGAAGCCAAAGCAAGGGAGTGATCTTCCTAAGTTGTCCCATCAGAGTGATGTTAACAGAAACTTTGGAACCCAATGGGCTGCTGCTGTGAGGGGAAGTCAGGACCATAGTAGAGTTGAAGTATGGCACGCTTGAGACAGTCATGGACACGCTCTGCTGAACTGTTTCATATGTCTCAAGACAGGAAGTCCTGATCAGATGCATTAGGAACTTGCAACCCAGGCAAGGAGATGCCTTCATGTCACGATATTGTTTCTGCCTGTCTAGCTCCCTGGTCTCTAAAATTCCCTGACTGTGTAGGTGGCCATTTGCTTTTATAGTCCCATTCTTGTTTCAGAGAACATGGCCCAAGGAGCAGTCTGGTTTAGATTTTCTCTGCAACACATACTTATCTAAGCTTCCATCTTATCTCCTATAAACTGACAAAGTAAATTCACTCAGAGATTACATCTACCTCTCAAGCTATGTAAGCCTACAAACACAAAAGAATATGAATAATCTTTCTAAAGGATTGCCTCCCTGCCCTCCAAAAAAATAAAATAGAATAAAGCCAATAATAGGGCAATCCATGTGTGTAGGATGGGTGCTATGAGCAATACCTGGAGAGGAAGTTCCCAGGTGTGGGGCGTGCTGTGCACTCATCTCCTGGATCCTGTTAAAGGTGTGGATAAAGCCAATGAGATGCCAGCTCCAAGAATACTAAGGACCCATCTTCCCACTCAGCTGCTGCCACCATCTTTCTGGACAAATGACTGTAAGGTAAGACAGCAGCAGTTCCTCTGGGGGCTGAGCCAGAAAGCCCAGAGACACAGGCCTTCCTCACCATTATCTACCCACTACTGCTGAGAACTATCACTCAGTACTAACTCAAAGACAAGGCTAGGTTCAGTACAGTGTTTCCCTGGATGGTTTCAAATGTGACATAAAGGAAGGCCAGACTGAAGTGTTGGAGATAACCTGTTCTTCTGTGAAGCAGACTGGGACGGGGAGCAGGAACCATAGGCTATTAGAGGGCTATGGAATGGAGCAGAAACAAGACTAAGCACAACAAGTACAGAGGACTGACTGTCAAAGATAAAGCACAGTGGAGCCACAGAGCAAGCACACGCTTGGCTGCAGCCCCAGAAGCCTCCAGGCTTTCCTTCTTGTCCTATGCCGTATGCCATACTTCTAGTCTAGTATATCCTTGAGCGTTGAGGTTGTAAGTGTATAAGTGAAGAGTAACCCTGTAGTGGGTGGAGCTGAAGTCCCAGGAAGAGGCAATAGCTTTGCTGAGAAGGATACTGTTTTTGTAGGTGGAAATAAGGCAAAAAAGGAGAAAAATATGTCTGGAGAAATGGCCCAGTGGTAGAGAACACTGGCTGCTCCTATAGAGGACAAAGGCTCAGCTCTCAGCACGCATGTGGTGGCTCCAGCAACAGTTGGAATCTTCCATTCCAGTGATCTGCTCCTCTAACATCCGTGGGCACTGCACGCACATGGTGCACATTCAGAAAAAGAAGAATGAGGAGAGCAGAGGTACCAAGTGCGAGTGTCTCCCATGAGCGGTTGGAGGAATTTTGTGCTGTGGCTCAGAAAATGATCTATAAGAGCTCTATTTTCCGTTTTAAATGAGTGAGATTATTAAGTATACAGCAAGAGGGAGAGAGAGACAGAGACAGAGAGAGAATCGGGTGTTCAAAATATCCAGGAGGGCAAGTTCACGTGAAGCAGTCAGCTAGAGTTCCCAATAGATAGAGTCCCAGGCAGAGCAGAATGTACACCATGGGTGAGGCTTCTAAGTCAAGGAACAAATCACAACAGAAAGATAGTATCATCAAAATGGCACTCGAGAAGAAATGAGCAAAAACTGACTGATGAAGCTGCATTAGGTAGCCAGCTGGCTTACCAATCAAGAGTGTCAAGCAGAGTGGAACAGGCTTCCAAGTGAAAGGACAGATCGAAACAGTTAGAAACAGCATCAGCAGAGCTGGTGCTTGAATCATATTCTTAAGAAACTGACTAAGGAAGTTGAGGCATCCCTGGAATTTCAGGGTAAGCTTTCTCTCTATGGATGAGCTTTCCCAGGTCTGAACTTCTTTCTCAGTAAGTGAAGTAACATCAGTAGAAAATAGTTCATCATCCAGATGTTCTCAAGAACACAAGGAATTTACTTAGCCTATTTTGCCATTTTCCTCCAAATCACAGAGTTAGGGAAGCAGTCTAATCCCACATAAGTCTTGGAGAACTTGGACAAAGATCCCTGGTGTTGAAACTTGTGTGGAACAACCCCATTTCCAGGGCCAGCTTCTCAATGAGTTAAAACAACACAGGACAATTTACCAATATAGTGTACACTGTGCATGGTAAAGGAGATCTTGGGCAGCTCCTAGGTAGCCTTGGATACTCTCTCAAAGTTTTTTTTTTAAAGATTAACCATGTTTGTAGCAGTTTTATTTGTAATAGCCAGAAGCTGGAAACAACCCAGACGCCCCTCAGTTGAGAAATGGATACAGAAATTATGGTACATTTACACAACGGAATTAAAAACTCAGCAATTAAAAATAAAGAAATCATGAAATCTGCAGGCAAATGGTGGGATCTAAAAAAGCTTATCATGAGTGAGGTATCCCAGAAGCAGAAAGACACTCATGGTATATACTCACTTATAAGTGGATATTAGACATATAATATAGGATGAACATACTCTAATCTGTACACCTAAGGAAGCTAATCAAGAAGGAGGATCCTGGGTAAGATACTTAATCTTCATTTACAAAGGCAAACGGGACAGACATTGGAAGAGAAAGAAAACAGGGAACAGGATGGCAGCCTATCACAGAAGGCCTCTGAAAGACTCTATCCAGCAGGGTATCAAAACATATGCTGAGACTCATAGCCAAACTTTGGGCAGAGTGTAGGGACTCTTATGAAAGAAGGGGGAGATAGAAAGACCTGGAGGGAACAGGAGCAGAAACAAAAACTCTGGGCACAGGGGTCTTTTCTGAGACTGATACTCCAAACAAGGACCATGCATGGAGATAACCTAGAACCCCTGCACAGAAGTAACACATGGCAGCTCAGTGTCCAAGAGGGTTCTCCAATATTAGGAACAGGGATTGTCTCTGACATGAACTCATGAGCTAGCTCTTTGATCACCTCCACCTGAGGGGGAAACAGCTTTACCATTCCACAGAGAAAGACAAAGAAACCAGTCCTGATGAGACCCGATAGACTAGGGTCAGATGGAAGGGGAAGAGGACTTCCCCTATCATTGGACTGGGAAAGGGGCATAGGAAAAGAAGAGAGAGGGAGGGTAGGATTGGGAGAGAATGGGGGCGGGGGCTATAGCTGGGATACAAAATGAATAAACTGTAATTAATAAAAATTTTTAAAAACTGAAAAAAATGATTAATGGAGGAAATTACTGAGGTATCACAACTATAATTTCTGTAATTTTGACTTTTGTGTTATATCAAAAGGTAATTCTTAGTTCATATATTTTAAAAATTTTTTTCAGAAAGGAAATAATAAAAATAATGTTGAAATAAAAAAGATTAATGCCCTCTCCCTGCTCTGTCTAAGAAACTACAAGCATCATACAAGTCAGCTTAAGGTGACACCCGCTGACAGATTCACCTGTATGCATAACAGAAACACTTATGAATCTTCTTCAAAGAGTCATTTCAAAGCATTACACCAGATTACCACTGTCCTCACCATGGTACTTTACAACATACACAAAAGAAGAGATCATCATAAGGGTGTCTGCTAAGGAACAGCAGAGCTAGCCCCCAAGAACTTCTGACAAACATGCTATATGCAGAAATAAAAGAATGTTGTACAAAAATGAACAGTTGTATCAAGACAAGTGTGAAGAAGGGCTGGAGAGAGGTTAAGAACACTGGATACCCTTCCAAAGGTCCCGAGTTCAATTCCCAGAAACCACTTGATGTCTCACAACCATGTATAATGAGATTTGGTGCTGTCTTCTGGCATGCAGGAGTACATTCAGGCAGAACACTGTGTATGTAATAAATAAAATTTTAATAAAAAAGAATAGTATGAAGAAATAAGATGTGATTATAATCAGAATTATCAAACTAATAATTATCAAACTAAATGGCGTTTTATAATTGATCACATGTGTGTGACAATCACTGAAAATTAAAAACCAGAACTAGCTTAACTCTCACAATATGTGCATCAAAATAAAATAAATGTATGAACTTGGAAGGGGGGTGGGAAAAGGGCAAAGGAAAGAAAAGAGTCGTGATGTGACTGGAGGAAAAATGTGTTATATCTCTGACAAGGTGACAAGATCTCTCAGGAGGACTCCTCAACCTGGCCCTTACTCAAATGCACCTGGCATTTGTTTAGTCAGCCATATGAAAACACAGAGATGCAAAAATGATCATCATGGAGGAAGGTTTGTGCTCACAGAAAACAGGAGCCATGGTGCGCTTCCATAATTCAAACACCAGGTGGAGCTACTGCTTTATCAGAAACTTAGCTGAGGTTTCTGGAAGGTCATTGGCTTCATAGTTGGAAAACAGGTCAGAGTTTCTAGAAAAAGAGTTCGCTTCTGATAACAAGGGGTAATCAAGAATTGTGCTAACTCTTAATGAGTTAGAGGTAGCATAATTGGCTTAGGAGTGCTGCCAGTACAAGAGAGCTGGGCAGCCTTCAAAGGGACTCAGCTAAAGCAGAACTCAAAACTTAGTATATTTTTGCCCCTTTAACCCACCTCTCTTCTTTTCCAAAGTTCCTTTACGTGGCTCGAAACGCAAAAGACTGCATGGTTTCCTATTACTACTTCTATAGGATGAGCCAGGTGCTCCCTGATCCGGGCACCTGGGACGAGTATTTCGAAACCTTCATCAATGGAAAAGGTAAATAAAAATGCTTTGTTCCCCCGTGTTCTTATTCCAGTGATCCTAAATTGAAAGAACCACTCATCACAGTTGACTCCCCAGAATGTTCTCTGCCTTCTATTCGGAAGCATTTATTCGAGGATCCCTGGCCTATAGAACTACCCTTAGCTTGGGTGTCCATATCACACATAATAGAAGCTTGCAAGTGATTGTGCATAACCAACATGAAGCCATATTATTTGCCATATTAAGGCAAAACCCCAAGACTGACCCAAAACACGTGACCCCAGAATCAAGAAGTGCAGTGTCCTTAAGATATATCTGATATAGATTTTTTTTTATTCCATGTTTCTGATGTACTTTAAGCTCTCCCCACCAACCCCCAATTCTGAATCTTAGAAGGTTTGTGTCCATGAAAACTGTTCTTGTCTGTTACAGTAAGTTGGGGATCCTGGTTCGACCATGTGAAAGGATGGTGGGAAATACAAGACAGACACCAGATTCTCTTCCTTTTCTATGAAGATTTGAAGAGGGCAAGTAAACTCCTGCTTCTGGATCAGGCAGTCTTGCAGGAGGCTTTTCCTCCCTTTCCCAAATTTCCCTGGAAATGATTACTCATGAGACTAAATTATTATTTACTAGTACCTAGACCGTATAGGTAGGCCCTTCTCAATCTAGCTCATAACTTAAAATTACCCATTTATACTAATTTACATTTTGCTACTTGGTTAGATACCTGGGCTCATGAGTTTGTTCTTCTCACATCTTGCCGGCCAGAATCCCATATACCCGGCTCTCTCCTAGAATCCCTCCTGGACATCCTGCCTATTTCCTGTCTCAGCCATAGGCCACAGGTTTTTAATTGACAGGTGTTACCTCCGTACAATACACAAGAGATCCCTTATTCAAGGAACAGAGAAGCTGCTTTAGGAATGAGATTCTGACAATCCCTGTCTGGGAAAATGGGATCCTATCAAAACTCTCTTCTAGTCCAACTCAATGTTACTCTCACCCACAGAACCCAAGGCATGAAATCCAGAAGGTGATGCAGTTCATGGGAAAGAACTTGGATGAAGCAGTGCTGGATAAAATTGTCCAGGAGACATCATTTGAGAAAATGAAAGAGAATCCTATGACAAATCGTTCTACAGTCCCCAAGTCTATCCTGGACCAGTCCATTTCTCCTTTCATGAGAAAAGGTTTGTGGGGCTTCTTTATCCCTAGGTCTGAGTCAGTCCACCTCAAATACACATATGTAACTGAGAAGGCTAGAGACTGTTTCTAGTGTTCAAGAGACTCTCCACACCGACCCTTACAGATCACTAAGGCCAGAGCTATTCTTGGTGCACACCTCCTGAGGTCAGACTCATCAGACCCGAGGTCTTGGAATCAGAAAGTTAGCACTCTGTTGTAAGGCTCTACCACTTGTAAGTACATCTACTGTTCACATGAATACCCACTGTCTTCCACCGCTGTGCCTTTCTCCTCCTCCATAGCTGCTGCGTGCAGTACAACTTCTGTGCCTAACTTATTTTTGATCATGATCCCGAATCTCTGAGTCTCAGGACTTCCAACATGTATTGCTGAGACCCAGTTTCTTAATGCTTCCTAGATCCTGAAAGAAGAATTCCAATTGACTCAGATGGTCCAGTTTTAAGAAGAAAATGTTATTTTTTTAAAAAAAATCAGTACATTCAATAACTTTTTAAAAAATGATTTATTTATTTATTTATTTATTTATTTATTTATTTATTTATTTATATGATGTTCTGTATGTATGTACACATGCATGCCAGAAGAAGGTACCAGATCTTATTATAGATGGTTGTGAGCCACCATGTGGCTGCTGGGAATTGAACTCAGGGCCTCTGGAAGAGCAGCCAGTGCTCCTAACCTCTGAGCCATCTCCGCAGCCCTCAATAACTCTTTAAAATATCAAATCAACACTGTTTGACTATTTCACAAAAATATTCATTAAAATTCTTATTCTTTATTCATTAAAATTCATTATTCTTTTCCCAAGAAGGTAGGAACAGCACAAAGCTCTTCCCTGCTCCTCATTAGTACATGTATTTCTTTTTCACAGCAGTGCAACTAGGAACTGGAGTTTACATACATCTTTTCTTTTTCTTTTAGTACATGAGTTAACTCATTCATGGCCCCTACAGTCTACAAAATATCCTAAAGTCCTAAAACACAGCTCTTTTCACTCTTACTCAGTGGTGACAGTTTGACAAGTACCTTTCTCTAAGTATTCTCCACATACACGTGTGTTCGCTTCTTTGCTTGCTTCTTTGGCCCATAAAAACACAAATATAGATAGCATGATAGCAATTTGTTCTTTAAAACGCAAACTGTGGTTACAATATACACTTTTGCTTACCAGAATGTGAGTCATATGAGCGAGGAACATCACTGTCTGTACAGTTCTCTTAGTCACACTGTCATTCATCCAATTATTTGTCCTATCATAGAAATTATATATACTGTGTTTACATTTTTATGATTAGTACTGCAATGGACATTTCTGTTCATCAAGTTGTATAATTTTCCATAACAATCACAGGCCTTACAAAGAGTATTTCCTATCTGACATTATTTTAATTATTGCTTGTTGGAAAATAGAATCTCATCCTAATTATCTCTAAATTCTCTTTCATTGAAATATAATCTATACTATAATACAAAATATTCATAGAAATTAACAATACATTTCAACAAACTTTTATAAACAATTAAACTATGTAAACAACAGCTAAATCAAGGCAGCAAAGAATTCATCACCTTGGGAAATTTACTCTAATAGCCTTTCTAGTCAGTTTCTACTTTCAGAAAACAATGTTCTCACCACTCACTGTAGGTTAATTTTGCTTGCTATTACATGGCATACACATGGAATATCACAGTATGTATTTTTTTATGTCCAGGATTTTTGGCAAGCATAACATCTTAAGATCTCCTGGTATGGGTAAATGTCTAGCGTTCATTAATTTTTAACTGCGACTATCCAGGATCTGTATGTAGCACAGATAGAGCCACTGCTCCAGGTCACCATGCTCCCTGCATTAGCTGTCTGCTTGATTTAGAAGCTGGAGTTCCTACCATCAGGCATGAGAGCTAAGGTGGTGAGGAATTCGGCTCCTGTCAGGCCAGCTCCCATGTGGGCACTCCACACTCTACTCAGGGATACAAAGTTTCTCAACCAGACTGATGCTCCTGTCTGGGCTTTATGTTTTAGGAACTGTGGGGGATTGGAAACACCATTTTACTGTGGCTCAGAATGAGAGGTTTGATGAAATCTATGGACAAAAGATGAAAGGAACTTCTATAAACTTCTGCATGGAACTCTGATTAAGATGTGCAAGTGGACAGCAAGAACCTGCAGGCTGTCGGCAAGCCACACCCAGCAAAAGGAAGTCCTGAAGCATGCTGTAAATGCCAAGAATTGTGGTCCAGACTCTGCCATTACTAACATCATACTACAATTTTATAACAGCAGATCACGTCCAATCTGTATTTTCTCCATTACTTACTACAAATCAGTAAAACAGCTTTATTAGTTAAGGAAAACGTAAAACTTGAATACTATGAATTTTAAGTTTGAATTATGCTAGAAGGTGTAGTCTAGATTCTGACTCTGAAATAACTACCTTAAGCACAACCACACAAATTTCACAGGTCACCTATACGAATGTACATGAAATTCCTGATGTCTTCCTGCTCAATCAGATTTTGCCTGGTTACAATGAGAAGAATCAATTTGTGGACAACGTGTTGCAGCCTTCTCATGGGAACATGTTCTACTTGAGAAAAAGAAAATGAGGGAAGGACCAAGGAGATGTTAGAAATCCAAACCTTAACAAAGGGAATCCTAGTTCTGGGTCATAAAAGAAACATAAGGAAGGCAAGAGAGGGGCCTTTGGGAAAGCCGAATTGTGCCTCGATAAAAGCAGAATGGAGGCATGGTGCTCAGCTTGGAGCCAATTGAGTTTTGATCTACTGTCATCTCTTCTAATGAGCAGCTTGTAACCAAACAAAATGTCCCTTTTACCTAGTTTTCACTTTTGCCCATGTGAGTTCAGTCTGTCTGTATTTGCTTGTCAGCGCACTCTTCTCCATCTCCCACTAGTTCCATGTCTTACTCCCAGTGCTAAAGGCAGTGTGGGGCACAGTGTGTTGGCTGAGTGAATGATGACACAGAAGTCAGAATGGAAGGCATGCTTCATGGCACTGATTTTCAGCTCTTACCCTCTCATTTTAGTTTCAGATATCAGCATTCCTAAACTGAGAACAGCAGGAGCAGCTTGTGGTGAGATCAGGGATCCAGGAAACATAACACGAGCTAGAATGCCAATTGTTTCTATTACTCAAATCTACACTTTCTCCTGAAATGCTATGTGACGACTACTTGGCTCCAGCACGGTGTTACTGCCAGAAAGAGCCATTAGACGGTGTGGTGAAAGGCAGTAAGCGGAAGGTAGGTGACTGGAGCATCGGGAAGGGAATGCGGACTCAGCCCTTGCTTTTCCTTTTCTTTGTTTCACTGTAGCTCTGTGGGCAGCTTTGCTCTGCCATTTACGCCCATCATGATATTTTGTTCATCTGACAATGGAATGTAAATTCTAAAACCAAGAGCCAAAATAAACCTTTTGTCTTTATAAGGTGATCATCCCAAATACTTGTTATGGTGAAAGAAAGCTGGCTAACACATTCACAGTAAGGCGGTCATAAAATACTCTTCCCTGAAAAACATCCTTAATTTTGTTGAACTTATAAACAATTGTTTATTTACTGCTGAGATTTAAGTATAGGTGCATAAGTAATTGGCACCATATATATATATACACCATATATATAAAAAAGATTTTATATTCTAATTGGATTTTAAATTTTTATTATTTGCTTGTAAGTTTTCTTCACATCTGTAGTGTAGTTTTCTTCACATTTTCTAGGTAGACTGTCTACTCTTATAATTCTAAACCAAACATAAGTCTTTACGCCAGCTTTCTTTCAAGGTTAAGTTCATAACAGCTCAGAGCCAGTCTTGATTACTTAATGAGTTACCTGTGTCTCCAACCCTGTACTGGTTAGCATGAGATTCAGGAGTAAACTGAGGAAGCTTGGTGTATTAAGTTTGAAGTCACCCCATACAGACTACCACTCACACACGATATTGGCAAGAGTGTTTTATTTCACAAAAACCTGCATGCAGGGGTCAAAACATTTCACAAAATGGTGACACTAGACAAAGGCACACAGTTCTTTTTTATAGGAAACTAGGGGAATTCTAGCAAGGGTTAGATAATCTAAAACCTCATTGGTGGGTGCTGGGGAAGTTACAAGGGTTGATTCCTAATTGGCTAGGAGTTCAGCGGGCTGCATTCCTGTGCCAAGAATGTTTAACTACAGGATGAAATAAGGCTGCCCAGCACAGATGCCCCATTCTGAGATAAAATATTTTTCCATTTTTGTGGTTATTTCCAGGCTGTTACTTGGGTAGGGGATTTTATGGTCTTGTTCTGGAAATTGGTGACATATGGACTAGTTCCTAGGACTAATGACTTTTCTTTTAAAGTCAGGCCTGGTCTTAAAATGGAGATAAAATGGAGTTTATGCCATCCTCTCAAGCCTCTTCAGTTCTGGTTTTATACTACTGAGGATTTTTCTATGTATTAAGTATTTAAAATAGCAGTACTTGAAAGAGATACATTATAAAGCATACTATGTTAATTTAGTAAGTAAAATATTGTATTCATAGCATACATATTGGTAATTTTTAATTATTAATTTTGGAGCTAATGATTAACCAAGTAAATGACACATTATATCATAGGTATTATTGAGTAATTGTTAGAATTATATTTTTATAGACAATTTTAGTTTTATTAGAATTGACTCATGATTATTTCACTGCCATGTCTCATAGACCCATGATTATTTCCTGGCATGTCTCTATACACAAAATTCTATAAAAGAAAGTTTTACATTCTCTATTTCTTGGCTATCCATTGTTTACTTATTTTTATTTATGATAAATACTGAAAATGTTTGAATGTAGGAAAAATTTGGAAAACCCTGTTGTTAAGGTCAAAGTCTGAGATTACTGGGAAGCTGTGAGCTAGGTGCAAAATGGTGGACTCCCTTTGTCTGCAAATCTTCCTCTTCTCTCTCTGAGGGAATCTTGGACCCCACACCCTCTACCTGAAGAACATCATGTAGCCCCTGTAGAAATTACAGGTCCAACAGCCTTTCTCCTTCAGCAAGCACCTGGGATTCCTGGAATGCCTTCTGTGCTAATGAGGTATCTCAATATGTTAGCTCTTCACCTAAGGACCTTCTCCCACCCTGGATAGTCCTACCCCCTCCACAATGTTCTATATAGCCCTACTTTACCCCAAATGAAATTGATCTCCCTGTCTGCAGTTGATCCCAGAGTGTTGTCTTTTTTTTTTTTTTTTTTTTAACCTCCAAACTCCCTGTCCATTGTCCCTGTCTCTCATGGACTAATACTGGCTGACAATCCCTGGTGGCAGGGAGGGTCACAGGAAAATTGGATATGAAACATGATTCAGTAAGGGGAAAGTATGAGCCAATTAATAAACTTGAGGTTTGCTTGTGACTGACAATATGGTCAATTTTGGAGAAAGTTTCGTCTCGTGCTCAGAAAAAAAGTATATTCTTTTGTGTTTGGAGGAAAAGTTCTGTAGACATCCACTAAGTCCATTTGATTCATGATCTCTGATAGTCGCATTATTTTTCTATTTAGCTTCTGTCTTGATGATCTGTACATTGGTGAGAATAGGTTGGTGAAGTCTCCCACTATTAATGTGTTGGGATTGATTTAAGCTTTAATAATGCTTCTTTTCTGAATGCAGGTGCCTTTGTTTATGGGACATAGATGTTCAGAATTGTGATGTCCTCTTGGAACTGTTTTATTTATTTCCTTCACCTGTTTGATTGTGGTTTCCTGTCTATCCTTGTTTGGTTGGATTTTTCCTTTGATGAGAATGAAGTGTCCTTTCTCATCTTTTTGATTAATTAAGACTGAAAGTCTATTTTATTAGATATTAAGATTGTTACTCCAGCTTGATTTTTGGGTCTGTTTGCTTGGAAAACCTTTTTCCAGCCCTATTACTCTGAGGTAGTGTTTATCTTTGTTGGTGAGATATGTTTCGTAAATGCCGCAGAATGTTGGGATCCTGTTCCCACAACCATTCTGTTAGTCTGTGTCTTTTTATTAAAGAGTTGAGTACACTGATGTTAATAGATACTAGTGACTAATTATTGTTAGTTCCTTTTATTGTGGAGTTGGTGGTAATAATGTGCTTGTGTGCCTGATGTTTTTCGTTTGTTTTGGTTTTGAGTTTTTGTTTGTTTGTTTTTGGCTTTACTGTTGTGAATTTATCTATATCCTGTGTTTTCTTGGTTGTAGTTGACCTTGTTAGGTTGAAGTTTTCTTTCTAGTATATTCTGTAGGGTTGGTTTGGTACATAGATATTGTTTAAATTTAGTTTTGTCACGGAATGTTTTCTCCATCTATGGTGATTCAAAATTTTATTGGGTATAGTAGTCTGGGTTGGCATCTATGCTCTCTTATTGTCTGCATGACATCTGTCCAGGCCCTCTGGCTTTCATAGTCTCTGCTGAGAACTCAGGTGTGATTCTGATAGGTCTGCCTTTATATGTGACTTGGAGCTTTTAATAATGTTTTCTTTGTTCTGTAGATTTAATGTTTGATTATTATGTGATGTAAGGCTTTTCTTTTCTGGTCTAGTCTATTTGGTGTTCTGTAGGCCTCTTGTATGTTTAAGAGCATCTATTTCTTTATATTGGGCAAATTTTCTTCTGTGATTTTCTCGAAAATGTTTTCTGGACCTTGGATCCTGGAATCTTCTTTTTCATCTATTCCTATTGTTCTTAGGTTTCATCTTTTCATGCTGCCTTTGTTTTCTTGGTTGTTGTATGTCAGGAATTTTTCTGTGTTAATGTTTTCTTTGAGAGATGTACCAATTTCTCCAATTGTATCTTTAACACCTGAGATTCTTTCCTCTTTCCCTTGTATTTTGTTGGTGATGCTCATGTCTGTGGTTCCTGATCTCTTCTCTAAGTTTTCCATCTCCAGGATATTCTCAGTTTGTGTTTTCTTTATTGATTCTAAATCTGTTTTTAGGTCTTGAACTGTTTTATTTATTTCCTTCACCTGTTTGATTGTGGTTTCCTGTCTATCCTTGCTTGGTTGTATTTTCCTGTATTTCTTTGAGAGATTTGTTTGTTTCCTTTTTATATGCCTCTAATAGCTGCATGCGCAGAGATTTAAGGTCATTTTCCTGTGTTTCAGCTGCATTAGAATTTCCTTTGTTTTGGGAGGTTTCTGGTGAAGTCATAATGTCTTAGATTTTGTTGATTGTGTTCTTATGCTGGCCTTTAGCAATCTGGTTGTCCATAGCCTTGGCTGTTTGTTTCTTGAACCTGCATGGAAGATTAGATGTACCTGTCTCTGAAGTCTGGAATAGTCTTCAGGATGAAAAGAGAAGTCCAGGGGAACATGAATGGATGCTGGCATTACAGATGTTACCACACTGGTGTGGGTGTTTCACAACTCAGAAGAAAGGTGCCTTGAAGGGAAGAGTACAGGTGCAGGCTCCTTGAATGGTATGGGTATGGGCTAGGGGAGCCATCTCAGGTAGTAGCTGAGGGGGCACAGACGCTCTAGGTGGAAGCTTTGGGGTGTGAGGTAAGGGTCATCCACCACCTCTGGTGCCTCAAAAGGCAGCTGAGCTATGGCTTACAAGTATACCAGATACTGTGTCTGGGCTCCACCATCTTGGATCCAAGATTCTGTATGATATTGTCCATGTGGTCTCCACAGAGGGGCCAGTAGAATGGGGGTTTGGAGGCTGAGATGCTGTTCCAGGAATCCAGCCCTCAGGGAAGCATGAAGGATCCACTGTCTGGCTTCTGGAGCAGAGGGTCCTTGTACCTGAGGGCCTGCAGAATATGCAGAAAGGGCAGGGGGCTCACAGTTCATGACTCCTGGACACAGGAGACAGTCATTGGGGTGGGGGGCTGAATCTAATTGCCCACAACTCCACTGATGTCCCCTCCAGTCCAAGAAGCACTAAAGTCTGTGTTATGGATCCAACTACCTATTTAGCCTATTTACTCACCAGTTTTGCAGTCTCTGATCTTCTGCCCCTCAGATATAGTACACACTGGTCACTGATATCTTGGAACCCACCTGTTGAAATTTTATATGTTGTTAACATATTATTTTCCGTTGTTCTCCCTGTTTTTACCATTTTGAATTTTTCATTTTCACTTTAGCACAGCTTGGAAAAGGTCAAGAGAGACCAAATGGTTTCCCATCTAAGTACTACCCAGCCCTGACTCTGCTTAACTTCAGAGAGCAGATGAGGTTGGGCCCATTCAGGGTGGTATGGCCTTAGAGAGAGTGGCCATCTCTAAGACACCACAAGAGCCTACTGAGCTCTCCGGCCATGGAGCCCAAATGAGCTCAGGCCACCCCCAGAGCAGGGATCAAGCTCTCCCAGGCATGCCAGCCTGCAGGCCTGCTAGAACTTCCTTAGCTTTCCTCTGCCAGGCCTGGAGAAGGGGTCCAGTGCTATCAGTGGCCAGCTTTCCCCCACCCCTACTGGCCCTTATCTCCTGTTCATCATCTGCACTGCCACTCACCAGGCCCCACACAACCCCTGACCGGTTCCTGTAGCAGGTTTGCTGGGTCGCTGACCTGCTCCTTTTCCCTGGGCCTTGGGTCCATTGTGAATGTGCCTCTGGCTCCCCAAGGGGAAAATCCAGTGTTGTTGACTTGTACTCCTCAGGGTGGTTCAGGACACGGGCTGACTTTGGACCTCGTTTCTGATTTGCCCCACATGGGGCCAGGGGCCAGGTAGGCACTGCCTTTGGGCTGGCTAGAGCCCTCATCTAACCTACAGGCATGTCTCTCTCTGGTGGAGAAGTCATTGGGGTCGCAGTGGGGAGAGAAAGGGCTCAGAGAGATGGGTCCCAGACCCTGCTTCGCCTATGCTTTGGTGATGTTCCTTCAGGGACGGCCACCACTGGCTTTCAGGGGAGCGAGACCCAGGCAAGGCAGCCAGCTTGCTTGGCTCATCCTCCCAGACAGGGTAGATACTGTCCTTCCCGTGCTCTCCCTGTACCTTGCCAGAACAGGTGCTCAGGTGGTTTTCCTCACCCTTGGGGCATTGACTCCATCTCATCCTCCTTTTCCTCCTCCTCCAGCGAGTACATCTCTGTGCTCTAGGAGATTCCAGGAGCACTACAAGACCTAATGCCCGAGTACAGTGGGAGAGAAAGTGAGTTGGTGGGTGGCCAGGACAGACTTGTAATGCCAGCAGCTTCTCCAACTCCCAGTTCTGTCCCCACACCCAGTCCAACCCATATATGCAATGGTGCCATCCATTCCTCCACTTCAAATGTGGATTCCCTGGATCCCTGAAACCGCTCTGGAGGGAGAAACAGAAGATGGCCAATGTGGAAGATGTTGTCAGGGCTGACAGATCCCACAGAACTTGGTGACCTAGCTTTTGGACAGTTGGGTCAGTAACCAGAACTATCTTGGGTTATCCTTAGTTCTACCCAACAACCCAACCACCACCTTCTATCCCTAAACAGCAGCTATCCACTCCTTTCCATCACACATCTTGGTCAGACTGTGACAAACACACACACACAGAGAAGCACATTGAATGTTCCCACACCCACAGCCACACCACAACAAACCCACCCACCCCATTCCCACACATACAGGGAATGTTCCCTGGCCCATACCCATCCACACCCCTTCAACAAACAAACACACACAACACAACACAACACAACACAACAGAGGCAGGCCCACATGTACACACATTCATGCCCACTATACTATAGGCTCTTAGAGGCAGGTGAGAGAACTGGGTTCATCATACGCTGCTCCTACAGGATGGGGTAGGAGGGTCCACCAGCCTGCCTGGGGAATTTGAGTGCCAGGTGTGGAGGTGTCCCAGGATCTGGACTTCCAGGACAGCCTCAAATCAAGACAGCTTCATTCTGGTGTTTCCTGCCTGAGGGCTGTGACTCAGGGTCAATTTCCAACCATGTTGGAAGAGGACCTTTATTTTTGTGGGCTGCTTGGGTGAAGGACCTGGTCTGGCTCTGCCTTGGGTCGCTGGCTGGTTCCAAAAGCAATAGAGGGGAGGCAGTAAACCTCCATCACCCAGCATTAGCTTTAGCCATCAGAAGCTATGTGGTGCACTCAGGGTGGTACAACCTTCCAAGTGCTCTCCTGCAGCCAGACAGCCCCAACAGCCTGCTTCACTAGCCTGCCACCTAGTCCAGCTGAGCCCAGCACACTGACCTACCCCCTTCCTCTAGGGCACCTCTGAAGTCCCACCCAGGCTGGTGCTTTCTCAGAAAATTGAAAATAGTTTTACCTCAAGATCCAGCTATCCAACTCCTGGGCATATACACAAAAGATGTGCCACCATACACCAAGGACATTTGCTCAACTATGATCATAGCAGCTTTATTCATAATAGCCAGAAACTGGAAATAGCCCAGATGTCCCTCAACTGAAAAATGGTTGAAAAAACGTGGTACATTTACACAATGAAATACCACTTAGCTGTTAAAAAATTTGCAGGGAAATGGATAGAACTAGAAAATACTCTCCTGAGTAAGGTAACCCAGACTGAGGAAGACACACATACTATGTCCTCACTTATAAGTGGATATTAACCATATAGTACAGGATATCCATAGCACAATCCACAGACCCAAAGACAATGAGTACCAAAAAGGGTCCAGAGGAAGAATCTTGAATCCCACTCAAAATGAGAAATAAAATCGATATCAGAAGTAGTGAAAAGAGGGAACTGGCTGGGAGTGTAGGAAGGAAAACATATGTGGGTATGTCATGTGGGAAAGCAGAGGTGGGAGGTGGTAGAGCTGGCATAGATGTGATGGAATCTCTGGGACAAGCTGGAGACCTGGAACAGGAGAGGTTCTGGCAGGAAATGGGGTGACTTTAGCTGAGAATCCTAGCAGCAGGGAATATGGAGACTGAAGTAGTCACCCCTATAACCAGGGAGGACTTCCAGTGGAGGGAGGGGAACAGCAACCCACCCACCAAACTTTTCAACAAAAATTTACACTGCCTACAAGATGGGCAGGGATCGATATACAGCAGTTTGAGAAAATGGCCAAGCAATGACTGGCCCAATGCAAGACCCACCCCATCAAAGAGAGCCAACCCCTGTCACTATTAATGATACTCTGATATGCTTGCAGACATGAGCCGAGATAACTGTCCTCTGAGAGACTCTACCCAGCTGCTGAAAAAAACAGATGCTGAGACCCACAGTCAAACATCAGATGGAGATCTGGAAATCTTATGGGAGAGCTGAGAGAAGGATAGACCTTACTGAACTCCACAAGAATGTCAACACAGACAACTAAACTAAATCAGTGGGGACTCACATAGACTGAACCTCCAACTTAAGTGCATGCATGGATTGGACCTAGGCCCCCTACATTTGTATAGGTGATGGAGAGCTCCAACCTTCCATGGGTCCCTTAGCAACTGGAGTGTGTGTTGTCACTGACATGAATGCAGTTGCCTGCTTTTAGATCACTTTTCCCTAGCTGGGCACCCTTGTCTGGCCTCAGTGGAAGAGTACGGGATTAGTCCTGATGTGACATGAAGTAGCTGGGCAGATTGACATAGGGTGTGGGGGCTACCTTCTCTGAGAAGAAGGAAAAGGAAAAGAAGAAATCAGAGAGTGGGACTGAGAGGAGAGGAGAGGAGGAAGGGGACTGGGATTGGTATGTAAACTGAGTAAATAAATAGAAGAGAAAAAAGTAAACACTTGCAGGGAGAGAATGATCAACCAACCGTCAGAAAGAAAGATACATTCTGAGTGTGGAGCTGCCTGCAAACTGTAACAGAGTGTTAGAGTTGCAGTGCTCACAAAGTTTCACTCATGGAGGGGTGGGTTTTCTAGTGTTTCCACTGTTGATTTATCCTTGGTTTTTGTAACTCCTCTTCCATGATCTCTGGAAAGTGAAGTAAAGACAGTGGTCATCCAAATTAAACATGGGTATATTCAACCTATTTCCTAGCGTTGGCTCCCTTTCTGGGGTGAGTTGATTTGGTTTTGTGTGTTAGTTTTTCCAGTGAAAGTCTGTCACACAACAGAATTATGCAACAAATGCCTCATCCTCCTACAATGACTCCTGCTGCCTGCCAGTGTCCAGGCCTACTTTGTAGTTAGACATCAAAACCTACAGCGGAATGGGGCTCCTCATGCACATTCTCAGTGGTAGTTTCTAGTGGGAAAACAGAGAGATGGGTACCTAACTCCAGGATACATAGGAGTATGTATGTATGTCCCATTGGCACACTTACATTCAATCTGCCCTTGCTGATTGCTCTTGCCACAGGGACTGCCAGGGCTTTCGGGAGAGGTGCAATTTCAACCTGACATCCAAGTGTAGGGGAGTAGAAGATGAAGAGAACCTGACCTGCCTGTAAGCTCAAATGAACAGGGAGAAGGATGGACCTTGGAGGCTGTGAGACACTCACTGCACATGGTTTTGTGGAGGGCTCTGTTTCCTTTGTTCTCCACCCATCAGAAGCTTGAGTCTTCTTCTAAATTTTAAGGTTGGGTGAAGCATTGTAGTTTAAGAATTCACGAATTAGAGCAAGCAAGAACTGTGGAACACACTGTTTACAAAAGAAGCAGTCACTGAAGTATGGAATCCTGTATCTCCTGTCCGTACTGGCCCTTCCCTATGTCTCCCTCAGCATGGGCACATCCATGCAAGGAACATGCTTCTCCTGAAATTCTGTTTTACCATGAACTCAATGCAGGTTCATAGACAAGAATAAAGATAGGGGTTTAAGCACTCCAAAATTGAATCATTTTCTGAAAGATATTATACCAACATTCTTCACATGGTACCCAGGCAGGGCCTCTGTCTCGTACCACTACAATCTTTGCATGCTGTTGTTGGGGTACACTGATACACTGTTTCCATTTTGTATATTGACCATTGGTCAACCTCTGTCACCATCTCTTGCTCCTGTTTCAGGGCATGATCAGGCCCAGATAGTATCTTGTTGGGCTTAGTATAGTTAGTATAGTATAGTATAGTATAGTATAGTATAGTATAGTATAGTATAGTATAGTATAGTATAGTATAATATAGTAAGTATAGTTTATTAAGTATAGTATAGATAGCATCTTCATGTCCCATGTTGGGGTGCTGTTTGGAAGTGCTTCCAGGACTCAGCTTCCTGCCCAGTATGAGGACAGGGTTCTTCAGTAACAGCACAAAGAATCCAGGGGCATCTACTGGCTGATTAGTGCCCCCACAGACACCAACTGTATCCAATAATCATGGAAGTCCCAATCATAGAGTGATGCATGAACCAGAAGGAGCCATTGCATGGAGCGCCACTGGCCCACTGTAGCAGATGAGAACAACTGTGCTTTCTGTCTGTGCCTTCACATGCTAGTTTTCAAAGTCATAATACAAACCTGTATTCCCATTTCTACAAAAAAACACATGCCTGTGTCCATATACTTTCACACACACACATGCATTTACTTGGACAAAGATACATACATGCTCTGCCTAACATGCATGCACATATAAAAAGCTTTTTCTCTGAGACAGTGTGTCTCTTGTAGCCCTAGAGTTCTAGAACTCACTCTGTAGACCAAGCTGACCTTGAACTCAGAGATTTGCCTGCCTCTGCCTGAGATTAAAGGCATGTGCCAACACCACCTGGTTAAAGAAAGTTTAAAGTGAAAAATTAGAGGAGAATCATGTCTGCCCAGTGATCTATTATTTTCATGTATAGGTGGAAATTTAGGCTGTTTGAGTTTTCTACAATTCAACATTTTAAAAAAATTCAACATTTTAAAAAAATTCAACATTTAAAAAAAAATTCAACATTAAAAAAAAAATGCTTCAGTGACCATTGAAAGACAGGCCAGGACTGGAGCAAGCAGACTGTTCATGTAGCTTTTATTTTTCACATTAGTCTTTCATAGTTAGTCTGAGAATCCAAATATATAATGAATCATGAAAAACAGAAAGAAATTTATATGTGTAGTACTTTATTTTAACTTAAATGTACTTGATTATTTCTAATATATACAAATAGAAATGTTTCTTAGAGATATATTAAGAACAACATCCTATTATTATATGTCTATATGAGTGAGTATATACCGTGTGCATCTTTCTGCTTCTGGGACAGCTCTTTCAGGATGATCCTTTCCAGATCCCACCATTTACCTGCAAATTTCATGATTTCTTGAGACTGATACTCTAACCAAGGACTATTCATGGAGATAACCTAAGACCCCTGCACAGATGTAGCCCATGGCAGTTCAGTGTCCAAGTGGGTTCCATTGTAATAGGAACAGGGATTGTCTCTGACATGAACTGATTGTTCTGCTCTTTAATTACCTCCCCTTGAGGGGGGAGCAGCATTACCAGGCCACAGAAGAAGACAATGCAGCTACTCCTGATGAGACCTAATTGACTAGGATCAGAAGGAAGGAAAAGAAGACCTTCCCTATCAGTGGATTTGGGGAGGGGCATGTATGCAGAGGGTGGAGGAAGGGAGGGATTGGGACGAGAGGAGGTAGGGAACCACAGGGGGGACACAAAGTGAATAAAGTGAAATTAGTAAAGAAAAAAATGTAAAAAAAAAAAAAAGAAGAACAACATCACCACCACCACCACCACCACCAAAAAAAAAATAAAACAAAATATCAAGCCAAGTCAGAAATAGTAGAATATTATGAGGTGTTGTTTCCTGTGTCTATGTTGCATGTGTTGTTGGAGTACCTGATGAAGCTGTTTCACATTTGAGACTGAGAGGGAAGCATTAAAAACACTGGACTTTTCTCTCTGATCGCCATAAACTCCACTTCTGCATGCACTGGTCCTCTCAATCAGATTCAAAGACATGCTAACTTCCTTCCAAAGACTGAAGGAACTTCTGCATTTTGTGTAATTATGCATGCACTGGTGGCATTGTTCTTAATGGCCTCAGCTCCATTTCTTGCTCTTTTCCACACACAACTTAAGAGATGAGAGTCAAAGTAAATCAGTGTTTCGGGAATGTGACAGGACAAATAATAGTTGTTGAAGGTTGCAACCTAGATTCCTCACATATTGTGAGGTGGATCATTCTGAAAGATAGAATATTAGCCAGTGAGGTTTTTTTGTTTGTTTGTTTGTTTGTTTGTTTGTTTGTTTACTTCATACTCTCTGTCTATGTGTGCATGTGCTTATGAATGCCCGTGTGTGTGTGTGTGTGTGTGTGTGTGTGTGTGCGCGCACACATGCACATGCGTGTGTTTATGTCTAGATGCAGGTGTATGACAAGCATTTTGCTTGGGATTTCCTTTTTTACCATAAGATTGGAGTTAGGGATTGTAGTAGGTTTCATGGTTAGAGTCTCATTTAATCACATATTCCAGGAGCCTATTCTAGTACTCAGAGCAAATGGATCAATTGCTCCTAAGTGATCAATCTCCTGTTGTAGTTCTGTACAGGAAGGATTAACAGCTGATGTCAGATTGTTATCTCCTTGCTAGAATGTCTGTAGAACTCACAAAAACCTGCAACCTATACAAATAATGCAAAAACGTATGCGCGTATACATAGGCATACAGAAACACAGACATAAGTTATGGCTAGAAGTCTTGGAAATGAGAGCTTGCAAAAGTATTTCTATTTTGACTTGTGCCAAGATCTAAATAAAGAATTTGCAGGTTGAAAGGAGCAGGGAAATATCATGCCGTCTCCTGAGCAAATGGTCCATAGAGTTAAGTAGTATGTCAATTTGGAAGGCGTACCTATTCTGTCTTTAGAGGCTTCAAAGGGTATGTTTCCAGGAACTGAAATTTGATCTTATTGCCTGAGGTTTTACAGCTTTGATCTTCAGAAGGATGGGCCAATAAATGATTCAGTTTCTCTCCTTCTTGGTACTTAGTCTAATTCATCTCAAACTAGTGTTCCACAGACTCAAGACCGAGCTGTGAAGAGCTTTCATTTCTGGCTGAAAATCTTCCAAGATCAAACAACTTAGAGAAAGAGAGCACACCCTAATGATCATGGTCCCCCACAGGGGTGCACTACTAAAGGACACCTTGACATTCTAAATCTTGGAGAGTCAAGGCTGGAAATAGTGGACAATGACTGTCTCATCTGTTTGAGAGAGTTGCCAAAAGACTGAGGAATGGTGATGTTGACTGGCTGCAAGAATGGTCAGAGTTCAAATTTTACAGATGGACAGTCCACTGGTGGTTTTGTGTCTTTTGTCTTTCATGAGGAATTCTAGAGTGTACTTGTTACGTGTTGATTTTCTGAGATGTATGGTAACTATTTAACCCATTTTGACTATATGAGGCAGGGGTGAGCTCTCCAACATGGATGTGCTCATCTGAATTTGGGCCATCTGCAAGAGCACCACAAAATACTGATGTTTGTACAAGAAAATTGAGCACCTTTCAAATCATGTTTTTAGGGTCCTGGAGTATAAATTCTGAACATTTTCCAGGATGCTGTCAGGTACATCTGAATATGAAGAGAGACATGGGTGAGAGCTTTGTTTCATGGAAAGGCAAAACAGAGAAAATAGGGGGAGTGTTCTCAATAGTCAGCACCCATTGGGGTGCTATCCCAAGGGATTCCACTTCCAAGCCAACCACATTTCCTAGGACTAGCCTACATCCTCTGTAAAGAACAACAATGCAAGGAGTCCTAGATAGTGGCTACTAGCTCACACCCTATGTGAGGGACACATGATCCAAAACTCTGAAATTGGTGAGTGGAGGGACAGCTGAAGCCAGAACATCAACATTGAGGCTTCCTGGGTGAGAGGTGACAACCGGTGAGCTGGGGCACTTTGGATCCAGGTCACCCTGGACGTCTCTGGGGACTGATAGTGGTGCACTTCTGCACTTCTCCTTGCTCCAAGCACAAGCCTCCCTGCTCAGCAGAGGCTGTAGTGGTTGCCCCAAGCATGAGCATCACTGCTCAGTGACCTAGACAGCAGACATGACAGCATTGAGGTTATCCCAGGGC